TAATGTGGAGGCCCAGTCAATTAGTAATGGTGACAATCATGGTAAAATTTCTAAGAGTTATTTAAATATTACCTTCCTTAGCTCCACAAATTCTGTGTGAGGGTCTGTTAATAATGATTTTTACAGATTTGAAACTCAGTTTTCTTAATAGTATACCTAGAACATTAAACGATTATTTTTACATTGGTACAAAAAAAAAGAAAAATCATTTTTCCCCTTTCTATTGTGTATTGGATTCTTGGGTTTTATTTAGACGAGGAGTCGTGCACTCAAATGCCTCAAGTTCTGGATGGCCCTATAACTGACTGGTTGCCCAGTGAAAAGGGTTCACTTTACCTGTGTGTGTGGGGACTGGTCGGAGCTCAGGTGTTGTCTCAAGGGGGCATTAACTCAGTCTTATTAGAAGCTGGACCTAAGTGTTGGTAGAGCTTCTGATTTTTATCTGAATTCTCCCGGTATCCAAATATTGGCTCAAAAATTTTAAAACACTGGGCAGGCCTAACAAAACTTCTGGCTTGGATCACCAATCTGCCTTTATTGTAGGCGTTTATTCTAGCATTCGAGACCAGCCAAAATACTTAGGTAATTTAAGATTAAATCTCAATGCTATATAGTCTTCATCCTCTAGGGAAGAGACAGTCAAGACTCTTAAAAGAATTGCCATTCTGAGGATTAGAAGTATAATCACTTTTCATTATTTTAAATGCTATCATTTAGGATCACATGAAGGAGGAAGATATTGTTTATATGATGTGGTAGAGTCATGAGTATGGAGCAGAAGGCAGATGATAGCTGGGTTTTTTTGGGGGAGGGGAGATTTTAGAACTTCTAATAAGTAAATTTGTTTGCCAAAATCAAAGACGTTAGAGAGTTTTAAGAATTTTAGATTTTAAAGCTGTCCAGAGAAAGACAAATACTGTATAATTTCACTCATATGTGGAATTTAAGAAACAAAACAGATGAACATAGCAGAAAGGAAGGAAAAATAAAATAAGATAAAAACAGAGAGAGAAACAAACCATAAAAGAGACTCAGCTATAGGGAACAAACTGAGGGTTGCTGGAGAGGAGGTGGGAGGGGGTTGGGGTAACTGGGTGATGGGCATTACAGAGGGAACTTGATGTCATGAGCAATGGGTGTTTCATGGAACTGATGAATCACCAAATTCTACCCCTGAAACTAATAATACACTACATGTTAACTAACTTGAATTTAAATAAAAATAAAAAAATAAAGATGTCCAGAGAAATCAATCTTGATATGAAAGATATTTATTTTCAGAAGACAACTTATTTCTAGAAAAAATACAAAGCAAGATTTGAAAACTTAAAAGTCTATTTTGTATCCACTTTTTATGACTCAAAAAGAAAAGGCCAAAATGCTATTTCAGGTTATTCAGGATCCTTCTTTGTAGAAGTAGGAGACCGAATAAAACATGATTCTGTGAGGTCTGTTCATCTCTATGTGTCTTAATATCGAAATGAACAACTTGTTTTTAGGCAAACAGATGGTTTGAATTTAATTTTTAATAGCATATATGCTGTGAATTATCAGAAGGTAATATGAATTAAAATAGCATATCAATTTCTTCACTTTTGGTTTGGTGGGAGAAATCAGTATTGATTAGATCAAATAAAATACAACAGGTAAGCCTGTGCTATGTAGTAACCTAATACCTTATAGATACTAAGAATTATTATCAAAGTGATTATATTTTTGCCTCTATATTCTTTCTTCTATTATTGGGGAGGTTGGGAAAATGTTTTAAGATAAATAAAAAAATGTATATGCAAATATTTTATTTATTTACTTAATTTATCTTTCATAAAGCACCACATCATATTCCCTATACAAATCAACACTAAATAAATAAAAATTCATTTTAGAGCCCTTGAACAATTAGAACACATTTTTTTCATTTTTGGAATGAAATATTTCATCATTATTTCATCCATCCATAATGGAAAATGACAAACTCACCAGCCTACTTGTGCAAATTTCATGATTCATCATCTTAATGTAATAGTCCTGGAGGTGGTGGCAGCCTTAAGTAAAACTGCCATTTATGTAGAGAAAGATTATTATTGTAGGTTGCTTGGATTATTATGCTTTGGCAAAAGGATACAAAAAGAAAATGCTTTGTCAACATGAAGCTAAAGGAAATACAATGACCAGCATGGAACATAAACAGATTTACAAATTTATCTTTACCAATTATTTTATACATGTTTTCAAATTCTGTCTTTCAACAACACTTTTTCCTGATTATAAAAGCAAATCATACTTATTGAAAAGATTTTGAAAATACTAAACACCAACCAAACAAAAAGCAAAAATAATCATCCATAATCTCATTGTCTAGAGATGATAACTGTGTAAGGAAAGTAGTGGATGGACTCTGAAGTCAGACACATCTTGGATTTGAGTCGTCTTTTCTACTTACTATTTGTCTTTAAAAGTTAGTTACTTGACTTTTCTATGTTTCAGCTTTTTCATCTATAAATTGGGGATAACAATAGAATTTACCTTATAGGATTGTTGTGAGGTAATGCATTGAAAGTCTTTAGTAGACCTTTGCACATGGTAAATATTGAATCTACTACTTACTGTTGTTTTTTTTTTTCAAGCATATATTTTTATTGATAGTTAAGAACATGTTGTATACTTTTTCCCCATATAACATTGTATCATATGCATTTTCTTGTGTAATTTCCAGTTGATAAACAGCCTTATCCTAAATCATTGACCACATTACCAGTTGTTTCTTTAGGCTAAATTTCTAGATATCCTAGACCAACTGATGGCAGCCCACTTAGCTTACAGGAATATTCTAGCAGGAAATGATAGATTCTGGAGTTTTAATTTCCAACCATGACCTGATGGGGAATATCATGTGCCTCTTTGGTGTAATCATTAAGCTCTGTGGGAGTTCAGTGAATAGTGAGGAAATATATAAGATGATGATGGGGGCTCTGGAGCCTGTCAGACCACATTTGAATCTTGATTCTGTGACTTGGGCAATATTTTTAACTTCTCTAGGTCCCTCCTGTCCAGTGAGGTGTAAAAATAATATCTATTTCATAGGGTGGTGAAGATGAACTGGTTTGATATCGAATCCTGACATATGGTAATCACTTAATGAAATTAGCTCTTTATTGTTTGTTATGTTCAACACTTAAAGTTTGTTTTTATAATTAAATGTGAGAGAATGGCAGTGGTTTTCACAAGTAATGTGAGAATGTGAATTGTAAGACATAAAATAGGGCAATACAAATATTTTTAGTGTAAAATGTTGTTATTTTCCCATTTCAAATGTAACAAATAGTTGTCTGTTCTAAATTTATTTAGATAACATAGGAAGAGGCATTTGATTTAATAAACCTTATGAGGAAATTTTAATAATTTTTTCAGTGATTCAAAAATGGAATGTGATTTTTATCCAAATTATTCTTGTTAAAAGATGAATATGCTTTATGTTATTTTTTTTGCATCTTTTTTTCAGAGTGCATCTTTCAACTAGGATCTTTTTTTATTTTTTATTTTTTTATTAGTTTCAGAGGTAGAATTTAGTGATTTGTCAGTTGCATGTAACACCCAGTGCTCATTACATCAAGTGCCCTCCTTAATGCCCATCTCCCAATTATTCCTTCCCCCCACCCACCTTCCATCCAGCAACCTTCAGTTTGTTTCCCAGAGTTCCGCATCTCTTATGGTTTGCCTCCTTCTCAATTTTCATCTTATTTTTCCTTCCCTTCCCCTATGTTCATCTATTTTGTTTCTCAGATTCCACATATGAGTGAAATCATGTGGTATTTGTCTCTCTCTGACTGACTTATTTCACTTAGCATAATACCCTCTGGTTCCATCCGCATCATTGCAAATGGCAAGATTTCATTCTTTTTGATGGCTGAGTAATATTCCATTGTGTATATATACCATCTCTTCTTTATCCATTCATCTGTTAATGGACATCTGGGCTCTTTCCATAGTTTGGCTTTTGTGGACATTGCTGCTATAAACATTGGGGTGCATGTGTCCCTTCATATCACTATTTTTGTATCCTTTGGATAAATACATAGTAGTGTAATTGCTGGGTCATAGGGTAGCTCTATTTTTAACCTCCATACTGTTTTCTAGATTGGCTGCATCAGAGTCCATTCCCACCAAGAGTGTAAGAGGGTTCCCCTTGTTCCACATCCTCGCCAACATCTGTTGTTTCTAGAGTTGTTAATTTTAGCCATTCTGACCAGTGTGAGGTGGTATCTCATTGTGGTTTTGATTTGTATTTCCTTGATGCAGAGTGATGTTGGGCATTTTTTCATGTGTCTGTTAGCCATTTGTTTGTCTTCTTTGGAGAAAGACCTGTTCATGTCTTCTGCCCATTTCTTGAGGGGTTTTTTATTTTTTTTGTGTTGAGTTTCTTAAGTTCTTTATAGATTTTGGATACTAGCCCTTTATCTCATAAGACATTTGCAAATGTCTTCTCCCATTACATAGGCTGCCTTTTAGTTTTGTTCACTGTTTCCTTGCTATGTTAGTGCTTTTTAAAGTTAAATTTAAGCAGAACCCCTGTAAATAACAATACTAGCATTTATAAAGTGCTTGGCATATACTAAACAATGGACTTGGTATTTTACTTATATTTACTCCTGTGATGCTTACAGTGTCCTCTGAGTAGGTTCTTTTATTGTCTCCATTTATAGAAGAAACTGAGGCACAAAGAGGTTAAATCATTTGCTGAAGGTTATACAACTAATGAGGTAATTCTGTCCTATGTAGTCTTGCCCCAAAGACCATGCTTTTAACCATTCCACTGTTACTTAACATTCCAGGAGAAAAAGAGTCATAATTGATTAAATACAATACCGATATGTTTACAGTGAGTTTTTTAACCCAAGAATTTGATTAATAATAAATTCAAGAGTAAGTTTTTTGAAATTCAACTATTTTGTGGAAATGCATTTATGAAAATTTCAATTAATCTTTTTTTTCCCTTTCAGTTTTTCAGTTATGGAACAAAAATATTGTATCAAAACAATGAAGCTTTTCAGTCTAAATTCTTCCTACCCCTTCAAAAAGCCATGCTGCTGCCTAATAGTTTTCAAGGAAAAGTGGCGTTTCTCACTGGGGGAGGTACTGGCCTTGGTAAAGGAATGACAGCTCTTCTGTCCAGCCTAGGTGCTCAGTGTGTGATCGCCAGCCGGTAAGTCACACTCAGCGAGTTGCCTGGCAAGAGTCTATTATAAAACAATTCTGTGCCATGATTTTGAAAACACTCTTTGCCAGAGTCTTTTGTTTTTCATCTTAATTTTCTACGAAATATCCTTTAGATTATCTAAATAAATTTCCTTGGAAAAATCAGTTAAAATTTGTAATGATAGAAATACAGATGGACCGTGATTTACATTGATTCAATTTAGGATTTTTCGACTTTATGGTGGTGTGAAAGTGATACATACATTCAGTAGAAACTGTACTTGAAATTTTGAATTTGGAACTTTTCCCAGGCTAATAATATGTGGTAAGATGCTCTTTCATGATGCTGGCAGTGAATCGCAGCTCCCAGTCAGCCACTCAGTCATGAGGGTAAACAACCGATAACACAACTGTTTTGTACCCAGACAACCCTTCTGTTTTTCACTTTCAGTACAGTATTCAACAAATTTACATGAGATATTCAACACTTTATTATAAAACAGGCTTTGTGTCAGATGATTTTGCCCAACTGTAGGCTAATTTAAGGTAGGCCAGGTTAAGCTATGATGTTCAATGCATTTTCACATGATGGTATTTTAAACTTATGATGGGTTTACCAGGGATGTAACCCCATTGTCATGTTGAGGAAGATCAGTAATGATTGATTGTGGAACTGATGATGTATACATTTCCCAAATTCAGTGATAAATTTTTTTTCTTGTACCTGAAGCTTAAGGTTAAAGTACTGTGTTGAGGCTGCTTTGTTTTCAGTAGGAGTGATTATAGTTACTGCTTCAAAGGATAGTTAGCCTTGTACTAGGATAATGGATATAATCCTTCCATTTTCTGTAAGATGGGCTGATGTTTCAAAACATCTATTGTGATAAATGTAGGAAGGATAAGGCCATGTAGATGGAATTTCTTACTTGGGCATATCCTGGGACCCTATAGCTATGTAAGTCTAGAACTTTAGAGACTGGTCAAAAAAATCTACTCCTTCTTCCTATTTTGAATAGTGTAAAATTTTTAGATAAGCTGAATAAGAATCTGAATGACAAGTCACTATGTAATTTACAAAGGGCCAAAGGAATTTCTTTCAGATGTTTCCTTTAATGCAAATTGGCCAGAACATTTTTTAAATATTATGATGTTTTTACAAATATTAAAATATTATTTTCTTTGTAACACTACATAATTTATGTTTATGGTTTATTTTTCATGTTTATCTCAAGAGTATAAAACAATGCATATAATGCTTTTTTATCCTTAAATTCAGTCTAAAATCTACTAACAAACTTTATACATATCAGGTTTTATATAGTATTAGTTCACGTTGTGTTTTCTTTCTAAAGGAGGCTCGGGCAGGGGAACAGAAATTATTGTAATTAAGGAAATAATTTTATTTATTTTATTTTTCATGTTTCAAGTTTTTATTTAAATTCTAGTTAGTTAACATGTAGTGTAATATTGGTTTCAGGAGTAGAATTTAGTGATTCATCACTTACATATAACACCCAGTGCTCATCACAAGTGCCCTCTTTAATACCCATTATGCATCTAGTCCATCCCTCACCCACCTCCCTCCATCAACCTTCAGTTTGTTCTCTATAGTTAAGAGTCTCTTATGGTTTGCCCCCCTCTCTCTTTTTTTTTCCTTCCCCTATATTCATCTGTTTTGTTGCTTAAATTCCACATGAGTGAAATCATATAGTATTTGTCTTTCTTTGACTGACTTATTTCTCTTAGCATGATACTCTTAGTTCCATCCACATTGTTGCAAATGGCAAGATTTCATTCTTTTTGATGGTTGAGTAATATCCCATTGTATATATGTGTATACACACACACACACACACACACATACACACATACATACATACCGTATTTTCTTTATCCATTCATCAGTTGACAGACATTTGGGCTCTTTCCATAATTTGGCTATTGTTGATAATGCTGCTATAAACAACAGGGTGCATGTACCCCTTTGAATCAGTATTTTTGTATTAAGGAAATAACTTTAAATCTATGTGTAGATATAAAACAACTAGTCTAAAAGTAAATAATTCAATAATTGAGTATTAGATATATAAAAATTGTACGAATTTAACTTTTAGAAAGTGAATTCATTCAAACTGATTTGTTTGTAGATACAGCTTTTGTATTTTGTCAAGATTGCATCTGTTTAAGCTATAGATTCTCTTTGTTTTTTAACCTATGGAATTAAAAAGAAAAAAATATGAAGTCATTTCGGAACTCATGCAAAGTACTGTGTGTTTATTTCTAGGAAGATTGATGTTTTAAAAGCGACTGCAGAACAAATTTCTTCTCAAACTGGAAATAAGGTACATTAAAAAGAGTTATTTAATTCAGATTTAGGAATTAAAGCATGCTTAAATAACTTATTCATGTTTTTGGTTTAAGAAGCTTGAAAAATTTAGGATTCCTTTTTCTCTCTGATATTTTTCAGGTTCATGCAATTCAGTGTGATGTGAGGAATCCCGAAATGGTGCAAAACACTGTGTCGGAATTGATCAAAGTTGCAGGACATCCTGATGTAAGTGTAATGGTGATGAGGCCAAAGTATGAGGTGTTTGATGTTGATGCCACCCACCAAAATGCGCTAAGGATGCACTAAGGAAATAAAATATTGATGTGAGCAAGTGCTGTGTTGAGAAGCATGTATTTTTTTGTCCTTAGGAAAGAGCCAGCTTTGCTCAGAGCAGGGAACAGATTAGGTGAACTGCTACACCATTGCCTTTCAGAAATACTTTAAAAATGCATTTACAGTCATATAGAACAAACTTGATTTCACTTTATTTAATAAGATTATGAAATAAGAAGAGCAGTTATCCAAGAGCACAATATCTAGTTTAAGTGATGCATGCTCTTTGCTTTTCCTAATAACTTTTGATTATCTCTATCAGTAGAGGAGAATGGTACAATTAAAGAAATCTATAAGATACTCCAAATTTTTCCTTTTAAGACCTGAGATGTGCATGGGTATTTTGCTGTTTTTTGGTTCACATATTGGAAAGAAGCAATTTCCTCCAGTAGTCTCAAAGAGAGCACTGTTCTAAGTTAGAGATATTTTCAGACAAACCAAGAATACTGAATCTGCTAATAGCACTAGGTAGAATCTTTATTGATAGTGAAGAAACATGTTTATCAACCAAGAGTTTCATTGGGTAAATTAAGCCAAACTGTCACCAGAAATTAAAAGACATTTTGAGATTCCTTGAAATACAGTATAGACAAATGGTAGATATGCTTAATCTGTATTTGTTTTCTTAATGATAGATTCTACCCTAATTTTGAGACAGGGATTAGGATTCTGAGATTTGGTAAATAACACAGGAGATTTTCACAGGCTCAAAAAAAGTAAAACCAAACCAAATCTCATGGTATTATTTTATAGCAGACTATCAACTTTAGCTTTATTGTATTATTTGGATTAATAAGTTTCAGAAGTAAAAACTCTTCAGGGAAAATGTTCTTCCTTATCTAAAAAATTCTGTTATTTGCCTTACTCATTTATTAGATTGTGATAAACAATGCAGCAGGGAATTTTATTTCTCCCACTGAAAAACTCTCTCCTAATGCTTGGAAGACCATAACTGACATAGTTCTAAATGGTACTGCCTATGTGACACTAGAAATTGGAAAGCAACTAATTAAAGCACAGAAAGGTATGTTTATTAATTTTTCATATATTTATCGAGTCCCCACTGCACACAGGTTCTATGATAAGCCCTGGAATATTTTCAAAAGTCAATAGGACAGTGTTGATACCTGTACAACTCATAGTCTAATGGAGAAGAAAGATACTAAAATAATTACCACATGCTATGATATGAGCTATAATAAATACATATTTTGTGTGTATTGGAAACCCTGAGACAGGAATGACTAACTCTCCCTAGGGATGATTATCAGGTTGAGGAACAAGGTGCAACTTGGGCTGAATTTTCAAAGATCTAGATGTGGAGAAGTGGGGGTGGAAGGAAGGTGGGAGGTAAATGTAAATGTCCATGGAAAGAGGCCTGATGGAAGAGAAAAATGAGGTTTAGGGATTGATGACAAATGTGATGTGGTTAGAGATGAGGAGGGAGAATGGTGGGAAATGACTATTTGGAGGTGGGTTGGGTGTAATTAGGAAAGTTCCCAGTACCAAAATAGAAAATTTGATTTTAATTCTGAAGGAAATGGGGAGTTATTTCCTTATGGATTTCTCTTGAAGGTGTTTCATGAAGAATGTGACTTGATTGGAAAGGATACTGGCAATAGTGTGGAGGATGGAAAAGATTAGGGAAGCCATTCCGAAGGGTTTGACTTTTTTCTTGGCATGTGGCTGCGTGACATGCGGGATAAATTAGGAGACATTTAGCAGACAAAATCAACAGGGCTTACTGATTAGGTGAGAGAGTTTGTGCTGAGTGAATAGTTGGGATGATGATGACATCAATGTGGTTGAGAACACTGGGGAGAATAGATCTAGAGGGAAATTCCTAGAACATTTTTGTTTAGTACTATGTACAAACCTTATAAAAGTTCATGCAATATAAATAGTAAATATATGTGTAATATATGTATGTATGTATATACTTATATGTCTAGAATCAGTGTACACATGTTCATTTAAGGGACACTTACTGATGACTTTTGTGTAGCAGGTCTTGTATGCCCAAATGACAGAGATGGACAAAACTCTGTCCCTGAACAAGGGGAATGGGTTGGTTTGGGACTTGAAAGTTAGGGGTATTTCTCAGGGTGGAGAGTATTCTGGGCAACGAAAAGGAAGAAGAATCCTTGTGTTCCTTGAAGGATGTCCTTTGGGTCTTGAGGGGAGAAGAGAAGGCATGGAGCTGGCCAGTTTCCTTCCTCTGGTCAGAAGTCTTTGCCTCATTAGATTCAATTTCTTCTTCTTTTTTTAAAAACTTTTTTAAAAAAGATCTTATTTATTTATTAGAGGGAGAGCACAAGCAGGGGGAGTAGCAGGCAGAGGGAGAGGGAGAAGCAGGCTCCCCACTGAGCAAGGAGCCTGATGTGGGGCTCAATCCCAGGACCCTGGGATCATGACCTGAGCTGAAGGCAGGCACTTAGCCGACTGAGCCACCCAGGTGCCCCATCAATTTCTTCTTCTTTACTGTGTGGATAATTTTCAAGCCAGCTGGAGAAAGGATGTAGGAACAGGCAGAAGGTTACTAGAGAGGTGCTAGCTGTGTCTGTGCATGTATAACCTCCATCCTTTCTCCATGCACTAATTGCAATCGAATCCCCACGTCCCTCATTCCCACTACAGCAAAGTGAATTATCAGTTCCATTTGGAGTTTTCCATGATTTTTGTTTGTTTGTTTTTGCTTTTGTGGGTGTTTTTTTTTGTTTGTTTGTTTGTCGCTTTCTTTCCCCCCAGAAGAGATGGATGATTGGGAAGGGAGACAGAGAAGAATGGGCTGGCTCTTCTCCCTCTCTTTCTCTGTCCAGGGATCCTTGACCTCTGTGTCTCTTCTCTCTCCTTTTGACTCTGTCTAATTTTCTCTCTCCTTATCTCTTACTCATTTCTATATTTCTTTCTCTGTCTCTGTCAGTTCTTCACTCTTGGTTCCCTATTTTGCTCGGTCTCTCTCCTCTTTGTGTTTCTCTGCCTCATTGTCTCTTTTATTCCTTCACTGACTCTTGATTTCTGTCTGACTCTCCCTTCGTTTCTCATTATTGTCTTTCATTTTAACGGACTGTGATCTATTTTTATTCACCACACTGGATTAAAATTCTATGGACTTCATTAAAAATATATTAGCTAAGACTTCTTAAAAGATGGAAGCCAGTTTTTATTCTTCCAACATTCCTGTCAGTTATTGATGCCATAACCTGACAGAGTTTGAAGGACTCATACCACTAGGCTCTGGAGAGTACAATGCACAGGGTCTGTTCTGGTAGTAGAGCAACAGTTAAGGAACTCAGGTGTTAATGATCTCTGAAGGATGTCAAAGAAGAAGTCAGTTCAGGGGATAGGCAATCTATGATAATCTGTGGTCAGAAGTGTGTTTGGTGGTCTGGAATCTAAGAAGTCAGTCGAGGTAAGATATCCAGGGAAGTCAGACTAGAGAAGATAAGGGTGCCAACAACTGAAAGATAGACATTTGCTTGCAGGAATTGTTGATGACATACACTCGGAGAGGGACAGCAGATGACGGAGGGTCAAGAGAGCGGTGGCCGTAGCTAGAGAAGCTAAGAATTAGAAGGACATTATTAAACTATGTTTATAAGTAGCATTGATGCCAAATTAGTAATTATGAACGAATGAAAGATTTAGGAAACTCCTAAAGACATTAGCCCAATGTGCTCTTATAACCACAAAGGTCAGTAAATACGTGACTGATCCTTATTGAGAAGGATATTGAAAATATTATGCTGAGGTCCATTCATCTCTAGGATATCATGTATCAGTGTAAAAATTAGTGAACAGTATGGAAAAGAATACCTAATTTTATTGAAGAATGAGAGAATTTGCAATGAGAAGAGACTACAGGAGAGACTAATACGGGGTTTTATTTAAATCTAGTCACAAAGGATAGGATAAATATTAAATTTTTCTATCAAACCCTAGATCATTAGAAACAAGAGATACCTCTTGAAACTCACAAGAGGTGATTTTAGGACATGTAAGAAGTATTTTTTAAAAAGATTTATTTATTTTTTTAGAGAAAGAGAGAGTGTGGGTGGGGTGGGACAGGGGAGAAGGAGGGAGAGAATCTCAAACTGACTCCCTGCCAAGCATGGAGCATGACTTAGGGCTCGATCCCGAGATCACGGTCCAAGCCAAAATCAAGAGTTGGATGCCTAACGGACTGAGCCACCCAGGTGCCCCAGGACAGATAAGAAATACTTTATTGAGGTAGCACTAATAATACTTTATACCACTATGGTACTTTTTAATTTACAAAATACTTTCATATTATAGTATGCAAACAGTATGAAATCAAGATTATTACAAGCTGATTAAAGAAAAGAGTAAATCAATGAATAACATAACTTGAATGTATTAATTTTAGTTTGCTAAAATTGAGATACAATTTATATATAGTGAGATCCACAGATTTTATATGTTCAAATTGAACTTTTGATAAACTTATACACTTAGGTAACCATTGCCCCAACCAAGACATAGAACATTTCCACTGCCACCAAAGGTTCCCTCTTGCTATCTTCTACTTACTCCTCACTATATATATATAGTATACTTTTGTTTTTTTTGAGAGAGAGAGAGAGCGAGCATGAGGGAGGGGAGGGGCGAGGGAGAGGGAGAGAGAGAATCCTAAGCCGACTCTGTGCTGAGTGTAGAGCCAACAATCTCATGACCTTGAGACCATGACCTGAGGCAAAAATCAATAGTCGGACACTTAACCAGCCTGAGCTACCCAGGCACCGCCACTATGTTAGTTTTTAATCCATTTTTATTGGCTTGTTTGTCTTTTTTATTATTGATTTTTAGAAATTCTTTGTTTAATCTGGACTGAATACTTTGTCAGATATAGTATGTATTTAGAATATTTTCTCCCAATCTGCTGCTTCTCTTTTCATTTCCTTATCAGTATCTTTTGGTGAGCAAAAGAAACTGCATTTTGACAAATCCAGCAAACTGTTTTCCAAATTGGCTCTAGGAAGTTGCATTCCCAACAGCAATTTATAAGATGCATTTGAGCCACATTCTGGCCCACACCAGATCGGTTCTATTACATTTTAGCCTTCCTCAGTTTGTGTAGTGGTCCCTCATTTGTGATATTAACTTATATTTCTCTAGTAACTAATGAAGTTGAGCATCTTTTCATGTGATTATTCATCAGTTGTATAAAGTCTTTGAAGTGTCTGTTCTAATCTTTTGTCCGTTTTCTTATTAGGTTGTCTTCTTGGTGTTGAATTGAAAATTTATTTAACATATTCTGAATATAAATCTTTTATCAGATGTATGTTTTGCAAATATCTTTTCTCAGTCTATGATTTGTCTTTTCATGTTCTTAACAATGTCTTCTGAAGATAAAACATTCTTAATTTTGGTGTTCAACTTAATGAAATTTTTCTTTTGTGACTCATGCTTTTTGAGTCCTAACTAAGAGATCCTTCCTTAACCCAAGGTAACAATTAATTTCTCTATTGTTTTCTTCTAGAACTTTTATAGTTTTCACTGTTACATTTAGGTTATCCATTTTGATTTAATGTTTGCATTTGGAATGAGATAGCAGTCAAGGTGAATTTTTGGCATACATCTGTCCATCCTTTTCTCAGTGAAATACTTTGGTCCTATTGTGGAAAATCGGTTGATGATATAAATGTAGGTCAATTTCTGAGCTCTCTGTTCTGTTCAACTGATATATCTATCATTATTGGATTACCTAGCTTTATAATACATACATATATCATATATAGATTACTTTAACTTTATATTAACTTGACATCTGGTATTGTGAGTCCTCCAACTATTCTTTTTTTTCAAAATTGCTTTCATTGTTCTGTGTTCTTAGCATTTTCATATAAATTTAGAATTCAGTAATTTTTATAAAAGAGTGTACTGAAATTTTGACCAAGGTTGTGGTAAATCTATAGATTATATTGGGGAGAAGTGACATTTTGACCATAACATCTTTCAGTCCATCAGCATGCAATGTCTTTCCATTTGTTTAGGTCTTTAATT